TTTCTGTTTTGCATATAGGGTTATCGTTACCATCTTTCTAAATTCCATATATATGTGTTAGTATACTGTAATGGTCTTTATCTTTCTGGCTTACTTCGCTCTGTATAATGGGCTCCAGTTTCATCCATCTCATTAGAACTGATTCAAATGAATTCTTTTTAATGGCTGAGTAATATTCCATGGTGTATATGTACCACAGCTTCCTCATCCATTCGTCTGCTGATGGGCATCTAGGTTGCTTCCATGTCCTGGCTATTATAAACAGTGCTGCGATGAACATTGGGGTGCACGTGTCTCTTTCAGATCTGGTTTCCTCGGTGTGTATGCCCAGAAGTGGGATTGCTGGGTCATATGGCAGTTCTATTTCCAGCTTTTTAAGAAATCTCCACACTGTTTTCCATAGTGGCTGTACTAATTTGCATTCCCACCAACAGTGTAAGAGGGTTCCCTTTTCTCCACACCCTCTCCAGCATTTATTGCTTGTAGACTTTTGGATAGCAGCCATCCTGACTGGCGTGTAATGGTACCTCATTGTGGTTTTGATTTGCATTTCTCTGATAATGAGTGATGTTGAGCATCTTTTCATGTGTTTGTTTCATAAGAAACTGAAAATTGAAAAAAAATTAAAATGAAAAGGACTTCCCTGGCATTCTAGTGGTTAAGAGGTCTGCCTTTCCACAGCAAGAGGCACAGTTTTGATCCCTGGTCCTGGTCAGAGGACTAAGATTCCAAATGTCATGTCACATGGCCAGAGTGGGGCAGAAAAAATAAACTGATAATAGTAGTTACTGACTGTGGAGGAAAACTACAGGAGTGGGAGTCAGAGGTGGGGAGAAACTTCACTATATATCTTTACATGTTGTTCCACTTTTGAATAAAATGAAAATATTTTGCAAAACAGTAGATTAAAAATGCAATGATTTAGAGTAAGCTAGGATTCTGCTAATGGTCAGACTGAGTAAACCAAGCAACATGGTGTCAAAAAGGCAAAAAAATTTTATTTTGAAAAGATGGTATGTGCATGTGGTAGAAAAATTCAAACAATATAAAAAAGTGCTTGTGCATGCAGTTAATGAGTCTTTTTTATTCCTGGCTTCTAGTGCTTCAGATGTCACTACTCTTACTAGTTTCTTGTGTAGCCTACCAGAGATATTCTGTGTGTGTGTGTGTGTGTACACATCCTTCTTTATCTCTTTTTTAAACAAGTAGAAACAGACTATAAACACTGTTCTAAAGGACCTAGAGATTATCATATTAAGTGAAGTAAGTCATGCAGAGAAGGACAAATATCATATGATATCCCTTACTTTAGTCAGTTCAGTTGCTCAGTTGTGTCCAACTCTTTGCAACCCTATGGACTGTAGAACACCAGGCTTTCCTGTCCATCACCAACTCCCGGAGCTTGCTCTAACTCATATCCATCGAGTTGGTGATGCCACCCAGCCATTTCATCCTCTGTTGTCCCCTTCTCCATGATGGGACCAGATGCCATGATCTTAGTTTTCTGAATGTTGAGCTTTAAGCCAACTTTTTCACTCTGCTCTTTCACTTTGATCAAGAGGCTCTTTAGTTCTTGGCTTTCTGCCATAAGGGTGGTGTCATCTGTATATCTGAGGTTATTGGTATTTCTCCCAGCAATCCTGATTCCAGCTTGTGCTTCATCCAGCGCAGCATTTCGCATGATGTACTCTTCATATAAGTTAAATAAGCAGGGTGACAATACACAGCCTTCACATACTCCCTTTTCCCAATTTGGAACCAGTTAATTGTTCCATGTCTGGTTTTAACTGTTGCTTCTTGACCTGCTTACAGGTTTCTCAGGAGGCAGGTCAGGTGGTCTGTATTCTCATCTCTTGAAGAATTTTCATAGTTTGTTGTGATCTACACAGTCAAACTGTGGGGCTTCCCTTGTGGCTCAGCTTGTATAGAATCTGCTTGTAATGTGGAAGACCTGGGTTTGATCCCTGGGTTGGGAAGATCTGCTGGAAAAGGGAAAGGCTACCCACTCCAGTATTCTGGCTTAGAGAATTCCATGGACTGTTTAGTTCATGGGGTTGCAAAGAGTCAGACACGACTGAGCAACTTTCACACTCACACAGTCAAAAGTTTTTGCATAAATCAACGAAGCAGAAGTAGATGTTTTTCTGGAATTTTCTTTTTCTATGATCCAACAAAATCACTTATATGCAGAATCTGAAAAGGTGATGTAAACAAACTTATTTGCAAAACAGAAATAGACTCACAGACATAGAAAACAAAATTATGGTTACCAAAAGGGTTAGCAGTGGTTCAGTTCAGTTCAGTTCAGTCGCTCAGTTATGTCCGACTCTTTGCGACCCCATGAATCGCAGCACACCAGGCCTCCCTATCCATCACCAACTCCTGGAGTTTACTCAAACTCATGTCCATGGATGCCATCCAGCCATCTCATCCTCTGTCGTCCCCTTCTCCTCCTGCCCCCAATCCCTCCCAGCATCAGGGTCTTTTCCAATGAGTCAACTCTTTGGGGAGATAAATTAGGAACATATATACACTACTATATATAAAATGGGTCTTCCCAAGTGGCACTAGTGGTAAGGAACCTGCTTGCCAATGCAGGAGATGAAGAGACGCGGGTTCGATCCCTGGGTTGAGAAGATCCCCTGGAGGAGGGAATGGCAATACCCTCCAGTATTCTTGTCTGGAGAATCCCATGGACAGAGGAGCCTGGCAGGCTACAGTCCATGCGGTCCCAAAGAGTCAGATGCAACTAAAGCAACTTAGCACACAGCATGCACATATATAAAATAGGTAAGTAGCAATGACCTACTGTATAGCACAGGGAACTATATTCATTATCTTGTAATAGCCTATAATGGAAAAGAATTTAAAAAGAATATATATATTATATATAATATATAACTGAATCACTTTGCTGTACACCTGAAACTAACACAATATTGTAAATTAGCTATACTTCAATTAAATTTTTTTTAAAAAAAACAACTGCTTGCCACTTAACAAGAGACTTTGGAGATTGTTCTACAATGATGTTGAATCTATATCAGTACTTATAGGTCTACTTGATTTTTTAGCATAGGCTATATAGTTTTAACTTCCATAAATATGTCATTTAACTTGTCTGTTGCTAATTAATTTTAAGGTTGTTTCTACTTTATTATAATGTTAGTGAATGTCCTTGTACATATATCTTTGTATATTTGTGTAATGACTGTATATATGTTATGAATAAGTGTATGTGAATAAGAGATAAATTCCTGATGTGGAATTTCTGGGTTAAAGCATATATACTGTTAACATTTTCATGTATTTTCTAACAGAGCTCTAGAATCAACTTATCAAAAATATTCTTGGGCCTGTGATTGGAAGTACACTGACATGATTAATTCATTTAAGGAGAATTGAAATTTTTACAGTATTTTTTCTGTTCAGATATGTGACCTGTCTCTTAAATTACTGTAGGCTTATGTGATTCTTGAAATTTTTTCCAATATAGGTCTTTTTTCTTAAGATTAATATACTGTAAAGTTTTTCTTGCTGTTTTGAAAGGGACCTTTTTCATGATATTTGCTGACTGGTTATTGGAGATTTTGGGTTTCGCTTCCTATTCTTTTCTTTGCTTTATACATTTTCCAGTTGATTCTCTTGCATATTCTTGGTAGCTGGTCATATGATCACCTTATAAAAATAGTTTTGTCTCATTCCTTCAAATACTTTTTTCCCCCTTATTACATTGGATAGAAGATGTTCCCGTGTAGGAATGTTAGTGCATATCTTGTCTTTTTCCTTATTTTGATAGGGCAGTGCTTGAAACTACTGAGTGTTAGCCAGGGAAACGAGAAGTCTTCTTCTTTGTTGGTTTGAGTGTAAATTAGTACAACATCTACAATTTTTATTTATTGATTGATTTTGGCTGTGCTGTCTTCATTGCTGTGCAGGCTTTCTCTAGTTGCAGCGAGTAGAGGCTACTCTCTAGTTGTGGTGTGTGGGCTTCTCATTGTGATGGCTTCTCTTGTTGCAGAGCACAAGGCTCTAGGGTGCAGGCTTCTGTAGTTGCATTGTGCAGGCTCAGTAGTTGTAGCACGTGGGCTTAGTTGCTTCAGAGCCTGTGAAATTTTCCCAGACCAGGGATCGAATCCATGTCTCCTGCATTGACAGGCAGATTCTTAACCACTGGACCACCAGGGAAGTCTAATACAACATTTTTAAACAACTGTTTAGTCATACCTGTCTTAGGGCCTTAAAAACATACAGACTCTTCAACTGAGCAGTTCTACTACATAGCTAAAAATGTATGCAAAAATTTTACTGTCAGAGTATTGATGAAGAGACTTTTTGAAATAGCAAAAGGTTAGAAACATATTTCCAGTGGCAAGGAATTAGATAAATAAGCTACATTACATTTATTTAATGAAATACCATATAGCCAATAAATAAGAGGTAACTACATATAATATAGTGGAGATATGCTCATGATACATTATTACTTGAAGAAATTGTGGTAAAGCAATATGTATAATATGTACAGTGTGACTCCACTTTAAGACACCAATTTAAATGTACATACTTGGGAAGATATATCCTAAAAAGTTAGCAGCAGTTATTCTTCACTGAATGGTGAGCTTATAGGTGAATTTTTGTTCTAAATTTTCAATAAAGTAAGTCAGTAATATATATTAATTACCTACTGTTTGCAGATTATACAAAAATATGTGATGCTCCATTTACCATTGAACCCCTACTTTGTGTCACACACCAATAACACAGAGATGAATAATAAGCAGTTTTGGCCTCATTTCTACCCTTAAAAAGATTATATACTCCCGTGAGGAAGATGGTTTAAAAAAAAAAACAGGTAGTTACATTAAATATGATAAGTGCTATTATAGAGAGAAACACGGGGCTGTGGGAACACAGAGCAAGGGCTTAGATTATAAGGAATTAGATTCCTGTAGTTTCTCCTTGGTTTATTAAACTGATACTAGGATTGTTTTCTACAGGTTGTGCTGTCCTTCAAACTCCACTAAGAAGCTCCTCAGCAAGACTTTCATCCTGAGACAAGCTGTGCCTGTGGATCTGTTCCCCCACACCCCACACTGTGAACTGGAGCTTCTCTTCACTCCATAAGCAGCCTCTTACAAGCCTGTCAGCTCTTTGTTAAGGCTGAAGTGTCCGTAACTTCCAGGTTTGCCATATTGTGACATCACAGACCCTGAAAATATTACTGAGGAAACCAATCTTTGGATCTTGACCAGGAAGAATAAGTGGGCCTCCTTCCCGAGGCAGATTTATAACCTTAGTTTTCAGGTTCACTGGCTCTCATGCATATTTGCCTGGTTGTGACCATTCTTTGGCTGTGGATCTGAACTATTCCTTCTTTTTGCTGTCAGCTTGTCACAGCTCCCTTGATCCTAGTTTATAGCCTGTCTCCTCCATCTGGTTCTGGGGTGACAATTGAACTTTTCACTGTATGTGGTCATAATTTCACATTGACTTGGGTATCTGTATTTGCCCAGAGATTTTACTAGATATGTTCTGCATTCATGAGGTAGCTGTGGATTAGAATTAGAAACAAGTCTGCTGCTGCTGCTAAGTTGCGTCAGTCATGTCTGACGCTGTGCGACCCCAGAGATGGCAGCCTACCAGGCTCCTCTGTCCCTGGGATTCTCCAGGCAAGAACACTGGAGTGGGTTGCCATTTCCTTCTCCAATGCATGAAAGTGAAAAGTGAAAGTGAAGTCGCTCAGTCGTGTCCGACTCTTTGAGACCCCATGGACTGCAGCGTACCAGGCTCCTCTGTCCATGGGATTTTCCAGGCAAGAGTACTGGAGTGGGGTGCCATTGCCTTCTCCAGAAACAGGTCTAGCTTTTTCAAAAAGCAGAGTAAGCTATGAAGTGATTGCAGAGTGGCTGTGTGATCTAAGTAGAGCTTCATTCCTTTGGGTTTCCTAGGCTAGAACAGCCTTTAAAAGTGTGGTTACCCTTAAGAGCAATACCCCCAATTACCTCTCACTTGTGGAAGGAGAGGTGATTGTAGTAAAGACCCTATGGGAAAGGAGAACTTCAAAGAAGAAACTGAATACCTATAATTGTGCTGTGTAGTATGGAGGCAGAAAGTTCCAGAACCCCTTAATGATCGTATATACTATAACAAACTGGATATTTTTCTGACATTCTCTAGTCATGATTTCTTCAACTCTGGAGTTGTTCTTGGATATGTGCCCAACAATTTTTAAAAATTTTTAATTGAAGTGTAATTGCTTTACAAAATTTTGTGGTTTTCTGTCATACATGAACAAGAATCAGCCATAGGTACACCCATGTTCCCTCCCTCCTAGGCCTCCCTCCATCTCCCTCCCTATCCTACCCTTCAGCCTGTTAGAGCCCCTGTTTGAGTTCCCTGAGTCATACAGCAAATTCCCATTGGCTATCTATTTTACATAGTATTAGTATTAAGTGTTCTTGCCTTAAGTATTAAGTACTTAAGTATTAAGTGTTTTTGCGACCCCATGGACTGTAGCCCACCAGGCTCCTCTGTCCATGGGATTCTCTAGGCAAAAATACTGGAGTGGGTTGCCGTTTCCTCCTCCAGGGGACCTTCCCAACTGTACATAAAGGAGACTTCGTTGATGTGCATTAGAGGATACCCCAGCTTAACCTGTTTTGGAAATCTGTCTCTTGAGTCTTTAAATTCTATACCAATTCTACACCTCTGGTTGGCCGATTGCTTGTTTCTTTATTTAGGTTTAAAGGTGAATGACCTGGGGCTATTTATTTCCATCAACCTGATTGTGAATCTCAAGGCACAGTTGAAATGTCTGTTTTTCTTGCTATCTTCAGAAGAGATTGCTGCAAAGCTACTCTATGATTCTCATTCTTTTCAGCTTACAATACAAATAGCTTATTATTTTTTGCAACCTGTGTCTTATAATAAAGCAGTGCTGAAAAATTAGAAGAAAGTTCAGTTGCCATATAGGCTACGAAAATGATTTGCTGGTGGTGATTTTTAAGCTTGATTCTAAATAGATTTATGAAGAATGGCACTTGGAAGATGTGGTCCAAATTTTGCTATTTAAGGTATCTTGAAATTATAGGCTCACTCTTCCTAAAATTTCAAGAAGCATAGAGCTTAGGCTCTTAAGGGTATAGCAGTGATAAAAGCTTTCATAGTTATTTCTAAAAAGCAACACTTCATACTTTTCTCTCTCCAATGGTTCTCTAATATATCTGTAGAAGGAAGGCAACAGAAAACCAAGAATAAAAATAGCTGAGCTCTCCACAATTGGGCTTCCTGCTTACTTTCCCTGTTCAAAGAAAAGAGGAGACACCATCTTGCGATAGAGGCTTCATAGACAACTGGGCTTCTCCAGTGACAGTTGTCATTTGATGCCCCATATCTCTTGGTTCTTCTTGTTGCCAATTGTCGGCCTGGCGATGGTGGTGAAATGGGAGCAATTAATCTGTAGATGAGGGAGGGCTTCCTTTAACAGTTGAAGGGTACAGTCTGGCACCATTCCAAAGACTTGTAGTGTTTTTGATGTGGTAATTTCTCCAAGTTCAAGTAAAGTTTCAGGTATTACATCATAGCACTGACTGAGTGATAGGTGTTGGAGGTAGTTGAGTTGGTAAAATTCTGGAAAGCAGTCATTATTCAGCATGACACTATCACTTAAGTCTAGGTGGACATGATTGGGACATCTTCCAACTAAGGTAGAGACATCTGATCTCTGCAGATTCTTTTGGTACCCACTGAGATTTAGCTGGGTGATGGTCTCTGACATAAGTGCAACAGCCACCTGTACATGCTTTTCAGTGAAATCATAGCACCAAGAAAGGTTCAGTTCATCCAGTCTGGAACAGCTGCTCAGCAAAGTCTTCAGGGCAGATTCAGAGAATCCAGAATACCCAGAAAGGTTTAGTCGCAGTAAATTTGTGTTCAGAGCAAGATTATCGACAATGGGATCTGAAAGTTGGAGGCCTTCCAGGCTGAGATTCTGCAACTTGGAGCAGTGAGACAGAAGACTGTGCAGGGTAGACACAGTGATCACAGAGTTCGACAGGTCCAGATGCTGTAGATGAAAAGGGCTGAAATGTTCAACTAACGGTTGGTCCATAAATGACTGTGGACAGTGGAAGGCAACCACCCCTCGGGACAAGAGCCGACCAACCACGTCTGGGTAGAGGTTTCTGCCTGCGAGGTCTACAGTCTGCCAGAGAGACTCATCAAACGCTAGATGATACCATCTCTTACAAACACTGGAAACTTTCAGGAGTTCAGGGAGGCACAGACAGGAAAAGATTCCTAAGGGCAGCTCGTCTGGAAGGGAGTCCCAAGAAACACCTGAAGAAACATTTTACACCCCAAGAAGCATTTCACATATGGTACTGTAAATTTCTATGTTACTTTCTCCATACATCTCCTCTTCTTCCTCCTCTCCTCCCCCCATGTCCATAGATCTGTTCTCTATGTCTGTTCCTCCATTGCTGCCCTGAGAATAAATTCATCAGTGCTATTGCTTTAGATTCCATATATATGTCAGTATACAATATTTATATTTCTCTTTCTGACTTACTTCACTCCGTATAATAGGCTCTAGTTTCCTCCACCTCATTGGAACTGGTTCAAATGCATTCCTTTTTATGGCTGAATAGTATTCCATTATATATATGTACCATTGCTTCTTTATCCATTCATCTGTTGATGGATATCTAGGTTGTTTCCATGTTCTAGCTATTGTGAATAGTGCTGTAGTGAACATTGGGATACATGTGTCTTTTTCGATTTTGGTTTCCTCAGGTTATATGCCTCAGAGTGGGATTGCTGTGTCATATGGTGGTTTTATTCCTAACTTTTTAAGGAATCTCCATACTGTCTTCCATAGTGGCTGTATCAATTTACATTCCTACCAGCAATACAAGAGTGTTCCCTTTTCTCCACACCCTCTCCAGCATTTATTGTTTGTAGACTTTTTGATGGTGGCCATTCTGACTGATGTGAGGTGGTACCTCATTGTAGTTTTGATTTGCATTTCTCTAATAATGAGTGATGTTGAGCATCTTTTCATGTGCTTGTTAGCCATCTGTATGTCTTCTTAGGAGAAATGTCTTTTCATGTTCCTTTCCCACTTTTTGATTGGGTTTGCTTTTCTGACATTGAATTGTATGAGCTGCTTGTGTATTTTGGAAATGAATCCTTTGACAGTTGTTTCATTTGCTATTATTTTCTCCCATTCTAAGGGTTATCTTTTCACCTTGTTTGTAGTTTCCTTTGCTATGCAAAAGCTTTTAAGTTTAATTATGTCCCACTTGTTTATTTTTGTTTTTATTCTCATTACTCTAGGAGGCAGGTCATAGAAGATCTTGCTTTGATTTCTGTCATCGAGTGTTCTGCCTATATTCTCCTCTAAGAGTTTAATAGTTTCTGGTCTTACATTTAGGTCTTTAATCCATTTTGAATTTATCTTTGTGTATGGTGTTAGGTAGTGATCTAATTTCATTCTTTTGCACGTGGCTGTACAGTTTTCCCAGCACCACTTATTGAAGAGGCTGTCTTTGCCACATTGTATATTCTTACCTCCTTTGTCAAAAATCAGGTACCCATAGGTGTGTGGGTTTATCTCTGGGTTCTCTATCTTGTTCCATTGGTCTGTATTTCTGTTTTTGTGCCAGTACCATACTGTCTTGATGACTGTAGCCTTGTGGTATAACCTGAAGTCCAGCTCCATTCTTATTTGTCAAGACTGCTTTGGCTATTTGGCATCTTTTGTGTTTCCATATGAATTGTGAAATTTTTTGTTCTAGTTCTGTTAAAAATGCCATTGGTAATTTGATAGGATTCACATTGAATTTGCAGATTGCATTTGGTAGTTTAGTCATTTTCACAATATTGTTTCTTCCTACCCAGAAACATGGAGTATCTCTCCATCTGTTTATGTCATTTTTGATTTCTTTGATTGGTGTCTTATAGTTTTCCATATACAGGTCTTTTGTCTCCTTAGGTAGATTTATTCCTAGATATTTAATTCTTTTTGTTGCAATGGTGAATGGGATTGATTCCTTAATTTCTCTGAGTTTTCATTGTTAGTATATAGGAGTGCAAGTGATTTCTGTGTATTAACCTTGGATCCCATGACTTTGCTATATTC